ATGGAATGCCAGGTTATTAGAAGTGCTCTTGCATTGAAGGAGTACTTGAGTAGAGGCCCAATATCCATCTGCTACCTTAATACTTAGCACATAAATATATGTACATAGATTTATTTCCCTATCATTATATAAAAATATATTTACATATGTACATGCCTGTATTTAGACCTTTATAAAGGCCCTTTGTTTCTTAGTTCTTTCCTCTGTTTCCTGTTACTTTCCTCTTGTCCCAGTATCATTTTGGCCTTCATTTGGGTTTCAGTAATTTATCTTGGCAACATTGCCTTTGATCAAACCCCACCAGGCATCCAATATCCTCACCATCCAATTTTAGATCACTTGTTGTTCCCTTGTCCCTGGGTTTGTTGTTGACAACCCACTTCCTTCTTCCTCCCCCAGCCCCACCCCCACCCCAAACCGTGGGTCTCATTGTTTTCACCTCTGGATTGTTTATCCCACCTATCTTATCTAGACAGACATGCAGAGACAATGATAAGCACAAAAACAAGACAAAACAAAACAACTAAAAAAAGAGAAAAAAACAAAACCACCACCACCAAAAAAAACCCCCCAACAACAAAAAAAGAAAAGCCTATAAATAGCTCCAGATCTGTTTGTTGACCTTTAGGAATGTAAAATGGATTTTTAAAAGGTTTTATTTCACCCTAGCTGCTGCTTTCTATTCATAGCTAAATGACTAAAACTTCTATTTGTAAATACAGGGGCTTCCCAACACCTAGGGACTGGTCATTGCTTTTAGGCATTCATGTCCCAAGTCAACCCAGGCTGTAGTTTACTAGGAGGGAAGCTGGCATACTTGTTTGTGTTATTTATTTATAGTGACAGTAAAGTATTTGGCACTTATACGTTATCCCCAAAGTCTGATAACTTCAGTTATCTTGTGCTCTAAGTGGCCTCGCTTATAATGGAATTAGACATGGAGGGGAGTGGCATGGGCTCTGTTCCGATTTGTCCTGGGTTCTTGAATGCAGAGATGTGTGTGGAGCAGCCGTGCTGGCTCCCAAGGAAACCCTGTGAATTCACCGTGGAACCTGTCAGGCCAGCTTCAAGAAGGCAATGATGAAAATCCTGAGTTATTTCTGGAGCAGGTGATTGATGTTTCAAATAGAAGATGACATTTTGATGGGCTCCAGACTTGCTGTGATAGGAGTTAATGAGGATAATGATGATGATAATGATATTTACATGATACCTTTTTCTTCCAAAGAACACTTCAGTCCCTTTATCTCATTTGCATTGAAAATATCCCTTTGGAGTTGGGAGGTGTTATTCATCTGTGTTTCAGGAGAGACAATAGCAAGTTAATTGCTTGGCTTTCAGGCACCACTTTGGGGGTGAGCAGAGATGTTTAGATCACAAACACCATTTGTTCTCAGTCCCCATTTGTCCTACATAATCCTGCCAGATCAAACTCCAGTAATAGCGTTCCCTGCCTCACACGTCTTCAGGGGTTTCTCAGTCCCCAGACCCTCGCTTAGCACTCCGGGGGTTAGACATGCCAACCTATATTGTCAGCCTTAGCTCTAATTACACTCTTGCTTTTATCCTGTGTTTCAGCCACACAAATCCACCTGCTGGCCTCTGCTATCTGCTCTGAGCATGCCGTTACCCTTTCGTAATGCCCACCACACTTGCTGTAACTGCTGTAACACCTGCTCTTCCTGGTGGATGTAAAGTCTAGCAAAGCAGGGATGGTTGCCTCTTGTTTGCTGTTGATCCCTCAGCTGGGGACTAACAGAATTAAATAGCACTTTGTAGATGCTCAGTAGACATCTGTTTCTAAATGCACATTACACCCTTCCACTTCCATGTGTTGGCTCACGCTGGCCCCTCAACCTAGTATGCCTTCACTCAAACTCTGCCTATTGAAGCCAGAGCCCTTCTTCCAAGCCCAGATCAAAGACCAGTTCCTGCAGCTGTTCCCTGTTTGGGAACTACCACAACACTGCTTCGACCCATCCCCTCTGAAAGGTCTAACTCTAACCTTGTGCTGTGTCCTGGTTATCTGTGTCTCCGGATAGTCATCCTTTTCTCCAGACTGAAGGTTCGAAGATGCACCCCAAAGCCTGGTACATTGTGGGCACTTGTCAAATGTGTGCTCACTTGCCTCAAATTGCCGACCAACATTTTCTGTCCGCATGACTCCCATTTCCCGAAGCTTCAGCTTGTTCTGGGCGGGACTTTCCTCCCTAGACCTTCCTTCTTTTCTCTGGAAGGTTCAGAGGCAGATTATCAAGGGAATGCCTGCCAACCTTTCCTTTAGAAATGAACCTTCCTGTGGAGCTGATACCAAGGGCTCAAGTAGAAAGAAAATATTTTTAAAATGATGATGGCAACATATGTATAAAAGTGCTCGACACTTGTATGAGCCCCTAATAAAACGATTAAAAAAAAGTGTGTGACACAAGGGATGTATGGATGGATTGTGATAAGAGCTGTACAAGCCCCCAATAAAATGATTTAAAATAATGAACCCTCCACCCTGACTCCCAGGAGCAGTGCCCTCCAGCACGTAGGTGGAGGGCTCCTGCTGGGGCACAGGGTAGGTTTGCAGGGCGGCAGTGTTTACTTTCACTGCAATGCCCCTGCCAGCCTATGCACTGGAGAACTAATCAGCACCAGGGCATCCAGGAAGATGGTGTGATGTAATCGATGATCTCCCCACAGATTTCCACTGCTGGTCTGTGACTCTGATGAACAGTCATTCACACAAAGCATTCGGTTATGATAAAAATACACCAGACTGAACTAACTCTGGAGGATGGGAAAGCTTACAGGTAGCACATTTTGGATACATTGAACTCTGCCGCTAATGACAATGTTGGCACACCGACCATCTGTGATGTAACACTTCACAGAAATTAGAAGGAGCTGCTTTAATAAACTAAGGAATACTTGGGCTCTTAAAATGAATGATGTAGGTCTCTATTTATTGATATAGAAAGGCGCCCACAGTATTGCTATGTGCAAGAAGCTGGCTAGAGAACAGGGTAATTATGTACAATGAGTCTATGCTTATATATTTATTCAGAGGTGCATAGAGGGATATGCTCTGTAAAGTTAATATTGGTCATTTCTGGGTGATGAGATTTGGGCTATTTTTTTTCCCCCTTTCTGCTTTTTCTAGTTGATCTTGTTTGAATGTTTTTACTGTGAGCAGTTATTTTTACAGTAGGGGGTGGGGGAAGAAACTGCTTACAATAAAAAAATTATTTAAAATATAAAAGCCTCCATTGAAAACAAATCTTACATATTTTACAAGGGCAGTATGCTTACAGTCTTATGCTCAAATAAACACACACAAAGCAAACTCTCACATGAACAAAGAAAAAATTGTTCAACTGCCTCCATAACAGAGCCATGTAATATATGGGCTACTATTAGGAGTAAAAGGGAAGAAAAGATATCCTTTCAGGAGAAGCACATATAAAATCAGGACCTCCTCATCGGCATGGTTTAAAAACTCGTTTTGTTGTTGAGAAGTGTGGTAGTTACATAATCTGTTGTCATTTTGAGAGGATTCGGAGTGAAGAGGTGGAGTAAAGCCTCTCGACCAGGTGGTAGTTTGATGACTTCATTGGGAGATAAATAGCTCGCTAGAGATGGGACACATGCTCAGTCCCTGTGAAACATTCTTGTTGACAAACCACATGCAGACAGGCTGATGGCAGCCAACACCTCAGAGCTGAAGGAACCACGTGGAGACCCCTGCCAGCGCTGAGATGCTTACACCACCACTGGATCCTCAAGACTTCCCACCCACTGGCCTGGGATCATCCTCAGTTCAGCTTCAGTGCATGTGCTTTGTGAGTCTGAAGAGGAATTTATAGATTGCTATTGGGCAGATGGGCTAATAGCGGGCTTATGGACTTGATCTGAACTGGGCTAGGATGTTTGCTCAACATTCAATTGCTCCTGTATGTAAACCTCTTTCTTATATACTTAGGGGTGTCTATGAATTTGTTTCTCTAGTCAACCCAGACTAACACCAGAAGATACACAGCCAAACCTACACCCATCCAACAGTGTGTGCAAGCACAATGACAGGCTATATTCTTCCAGCTGTGTGACCATTGCCACCTCCTTTCTGAGTTGTTTTGTCCCCATTGACAAAAACACGCCGACCCTAAAGATTCCTATCTACTCTTTCCAGTTAATATGCAGGGCTTTTAAGGTGCGCAGTAGCGTTTCAAACATTTTAATCTAAGCTTTTGATGACAGCAGATTGACAAGTGTAGCATTTATAATTCCAGAACTTACAGGACTGGAAAGAAAACATCCCATCTCTGATAGCAAGGAAGTGGCGCCTTTACTCATCATGGCAGTTTCTGCTGCGAAAAAGAGACACAAACACTGTTGCTCACAGTACAGCTCACACTTTATTCCATCGTGATTGGCATACATGTGGGATCAGGACAGCCAGAGACTAAACTCAGTGCAGAACTCCTCTGGACGAAAGGGTCACGAAAGGCATTACTGGTTTTGGCACACAGATTGGAGAACTGTACATTGACCGGAACACACTGGTCAGTGAAATAAAATGCACGAGTCGAACACCATGTCAAAATCATGTCTGAGTTCTGTAAAATGTTAGAGTAAATAATTACAGACTAACATGCAGCTCTATATTAGTCACATTATTCACCTACAGACTATTTCCCTCCCGCAGAGATGAAGAAATGACCTTAGTTATCTCTTCACGGTAACTTGTAAGAGCAATCAATACACATTAGAGACCTGCCTGTTGGTTTCTAAGGCAGTCCGTCAGAGTGGGAGAAGTAATGCTTAGTCATGTATCATTCTCTGTCACGTTCTTCTTAAACTGAACCTACTGACCAAGGACTTCTCAACCCGTACTTACTTGAATGTAATTCGTGTCTTTATAACATCAAAGAGCAGTTTGTTAGTTTATCTATCCTTATAAATCACAATGGACAAGAGGGAGGAAGGTAGCTAATGGGTAATCTTTCCTTTTCAAAGATAACAGTATGCTGACAAGAACATCAAAGACGTGATTCTATTATGCTGCAAGCCTTTTAGGTTTTCACACCATTGTATCACATGAGGAGTCCAAAGAAGCCTGGTGGTGGGGGAAGGCCCAGTGCAGAATGCGATCCTGTTGGAGGCTTACAGGGTCTAAGTGATTTTTGAGGCAGAGAGAAGGAAAGAGGGAAAGGAGCTCTGGGAAGAAGGGAAAACCAGCCTTCTGCAGAACAGGTGCCACAGAGACAAAGCACTTCACTTGCAACTGACTAATCATAGTAGGTGCCAGCTGGGTAGTTCAGATGGCCAGGACTAAAGACTCTGAAAAGTATACCCCAGTAGTCTTTCCTATTAACTCCAACCTGACTACGTGGGCTATGGTTCCTGTGGTTCTCTGTGATGTTCAATTCTCACAGGGCTGTTTTCTGCATTTGCTGGCGGATGGTCAGATTTAACTCAAAAGGGCAACCCTATCTGCAGAGAACAACTTTTCTTTACTAGTTTAGGCATGTGGTTAACCTTCATTCTCTTTCTGGAAGAAAACAAATTGCAGCAAGTCTCCAGGGTTATGAAGACTTAACTAGGGACAATGCTTACTTGCCTGAGATTTTGTAAATTTTCCTTCGTTTTGAACTGATTGAACCAACTCCTGCTTGTAACCAACTCTCCATCACAATCACCTGTACTCGCTGCATGTGCGGCTTTTACGTCACTCAGAGGGCTTTGCGTTTAACCAAGAACCGGATACACCTGCTCTGACTTCCCTATAAGTCTGACTTTGACACACTTAGGAATGGTTCTTGTTTGTAACCAGTCCAGGAGAGTTTTTAAATCCTATCATTACCAAAATAGAGCTCAATCACTGGATGCTCATAATTCTATACTTGTACATGATATTAATTTAAAAGTTTAGCAACCAGGAAGAGAACGAACAAAAGAAATTTCTTCAAATTTTGGCACAAAACCATCCTATGAACGCACAAGAGAGTTAGGATTAAAGATGTCTTGATCCCCTCCCCCCAGCGCTTTATCACTTCCATCCGTGAACTGAAATGATGATAATTCTTTCTTGGTCACCAACACAAGGAATGTTTGATTACAAACAGATAGGTGAGCAGAGCAAGACTTGAAGTCTTAGTTCTTAATCTTTAAATCTGAAACAAGACAAGAAGCCCCAGGCAATCCAGGAAGGGAGATGACTAGGCAGTGTGATAACATGCCTGACTCAGTCACCTCCCTCGGAAAGCACCACTTCCCAGTACTGTGAGCAGGCCAATTTTTCCCCACGTGTGGCATTGTTCTTTGTAAGAGAGATTATGTCAGTTTACTGTTGTGTAATTTATAGGACATTGTACTTGAATTCCACAATAAATATTCATGGCTGTTTCAAAGTGGAGTTTTTTCCATTATCTGAGGCTGGTTTCAAGCATTTACCTGAACTTGCACCTACACTATGAGGCTTTGTTCTTTCTGGGCTAATCTATATCACCACCCTTGATCTGTACCATTCATAATCATCTTCAGGTGAGCCATCTCTTGAAAGAATGAACCTTGCTAGAGCAGCATACCTGCAGACAGGAGAAGGCTGGTTAAAGAAGGTGAGTCGGGGGCAGGGGGTGAGGGAGGATTGAAAGGGGATGAATAAGGGAAATGTGAGACTTTTCTCCAAGGTCTATACATACCTTATCATGGGGCAAAAATTCATAGAATGTGACTCACACACCTTCTAAGATGTACTCAGGGGAGGTTTCCAAGCTTCCTGGTGTACAATTCCTTAGCAACTCTTGGGTGTGGAATTCCCCTACTTCTTCTGGAATTTAGACTTGGGGTCGGGCGGGCGCAACCTGGCCAGGATGCTCCTCTGGGTGGGTAACACTCCTCCAACGGCCGCCCTGGTTCTGCTCACGGTCCTGCTGAGCAGCTGGTTTGCCCCTCTAGGGGGCGGTCAGGAGGGGTAGCCGGGTGGTGGAGGAGACCAATGGCAGACAGGTGGACCAACGGAAGGTATGGAGAAGGGAAGGCCTTGGGCTTTACCTGAGGCCAAGGTGGCAGAGAAAGAAGGGGCAGAGACGGATAAAAATAACTAGAAAGAAAGCTTTGGGCACAGAATAAATGAGGGACAGGGGAAGATACACGGACCTGGGCATTTCACGGGAATTAAAGATGAGTAATGGCTCAGGGGGAAAAACACACCAACAAAACACAGTTTATCTGATTGATTCAAAAGGACATTCTTCCCAATAAACTGGCAAGGAAGCCGTCTTTCATGCCGGGAACACACACACTCAAAGAAGAGTGTTTCCTTACAATTATTATTCACATTTCAGTAGTTCATTAGCTTGCTATTTCCTAAATGGCTTACTTCACGTAGCAAATCCACAGCTTAGGTACATACCACTGTGTGGGGAGTGAGGGTAGGGCACAAAATGAAGCAATTAAAACGTAAAATTAAAGGTTTGTAAACGAGTGAGTAGCACAGTGGCACAGTAGATTGTCAATGAAAACAACAGAGGTGGGTACAGAGTCACCGGCCTGGCGTGCGCAGTGTTGCCGGGCACAGGAGAGGGACTCCCTGGCTCAGGAGGCTACCTTTTTGTTAATTAAAATTGAGCAACAAGTGAGCAGCCCGTCCACCTTTTCCAGTTCAGAATTGCTCACGGGGATCAGCATGTGGTCCTTCAGCTTCTCATAAATCTGCAGCAGGAAGAAAGGAAGAGGAGGAGAAGAATGGTTATGCCTCAGGATCTGTCTTCGCCCTCCGCTGTACAGAGGAACTTGTGGGGTCAGGCTGGTCTTAGTGTACTAGTGTGGCTGGCCCAGCAGTACCACAAGTGGGTGGTCTGAACACGCAGCTGGCTCTTTTCTCAGCGTTCAGAAGGCTAGAGGTCTGCATTCAGGGCATGGCTCTAGTGGGCATTTGCTCTTTATTTCAACTTCTAACCAGTTGCCTTTGAGTCAGGTTGGACTTACGGTGGCCCCATGTGTGACAGAGTTGGGCTGTGCTCTATCTATATGATTTTCAGTGGATGATCCTTTGGCAGTAAATCGCCAGGTCTTTCTTTCAAGTTGCCTGTGGGAGCAGTTGAACCACCCTTTGCTTAGTAGCCACGCACATGTTTGTACCACCTAGAAGCACATTTCAGCTTCTAGTTCAGTGGTTCTCACCCTTCCTAATGCCGTGACCCTTTCATACAGTTCCTCATGTTGTGGTGACCCCCAATCATAAAATTATTTTTGTTCCTACTTCATCACTGTAATTTTGCTACTGTTATGAATTGGGCGACCCCTGTGAAAGGGTCGTTCGACCCCCAAAGGGGTCTCGGCCCACAGGTTGAGAACTGCTGTTCTAGTATGAGGCACTCCTTGTAGTTGCTGCGCTTGTGGATGCACGTGCCCTGTGTGTCTGTCTTCACTTGGTGTCTTTCCTCTACTTGTGTCTCCGTGTCTGGTCTGTTCATTTTATAGTTCAGAAGTGATAAGGTTTAGAGCCCAGCCTTCCATGACCGGCCACATTAACATAACAAAAGAAACTTCCCTATTTCCAAACAAGGTCCTATTTATAGACAAATGGGTGAGAATTTAAACCCACCCTCCCATTTTTTTTTGGTGGGGGTGGGTTACAAGTGTCATGGACTACCAGAAGAATAAATAAATCTGCTTTGGAAGAACAGAATGCTCCTCAGAAGCAAAGTTAGTGAAACTTGGTCTCACATACTTTGATGATGTTATCAGGAGGGGGCAGTTCCTGGCAAAGGACACCATGCTTGGTAAAGTAGAGAGTCGCTGAGAATGAGATAGATCCTCAGTGAGGTGGATTTGATACAGTGGCTACAATGAGGTCAAACCGATTGTCTGTGAGGATGGTGTGGGATCAGGCGGTGCTTGGTTCTGCTGTGCTGAGTCTGAGCTGAACCAATGACACTTAACATCACCAACAACAGTGGAACACCATTCTGTCCGTAACCAACCTTTTTACTCATGTGACCCCAGGTACGTATGCAAGACAGACCACACAAACACCCAGCTCAGTGCTTTAACCTCAAAATCAACGATGTATCAAAAACGTGGTTGTTACTATAGCCGCTGTGGTCTCTGACAGCTTCAGTGACACGTGAAAAGGGGAAGGCCAGGCCCTCGGTCAGACTATTACTTTTTATCTCCATGCTTTAAACCTCTCTATAAGTTAATGCCTCTTTCTTGACTCAAACCACTGTGATATTTTGACAAAATACAATTTAAGTCAAGGATTTCAGGTCAAACTGCTTTTAAATTAAAGGGTGTAAATTTTACAGCATCTTCTGACACTTAGTTGAAAGCATGTGCCAGGACTTCAAATTAACAACCCCCAAGATTTTCCTTTGACAATCACACAAAGCACATTTTCAAACACAATCACTTAAAAACACACTGCCAGAAAGCCATCTCTCAAGCTCCTTCCGGAGGCACAATGCCCTCTAAAAGTCCGTCCGGTGGTTATCCAGGGCAGCGTGGGGGCCTGAACCCAGCTCTGCCAACTTAATGCTTGCAGGCTGATTTCAATCAAGGGCTGCTCTCTCTGATGTCAAAGGCCTCTTGCAAGGGTTAAGTAAGACCTGTAGGTAGCATGCTTGGCATAGTGTCTGGCAGTGGTGACTGTGACTCAAATCATTATGACTGAGAGCCACGGCTGAATTCAGAATGAGATCACAATCATCATCTGGTTGAAAGGTGATCCGTGAGGCTCCCAGGCAGGAGTCTCTGAGCCGTTTTTCCAAGAGAGTTCTGCGACTCCAGTGCTGCTGATAATGCCTCTCTCAAGGGTGTGTGGTGTGTGTGTGTGTGTGTGTCCCAGAACCCGGATTTTAAACAACCCTGATGCACAGAAGGAGCTTCCTGCTACCTAGGGAGCCTCCTTTTCTCAGCCCCGGCAGAAGGCATGACCTCTTTGGGTCATTTGTCCTCCTCTGCTTTAGGAAACACATGACCCTCTGGGGAGGAGAAACTCAGAGCTGTCAGGAAACAATGCCCCAGAAGACCTTCTACTTGCAGGGTTCTGTGCTTAATGAGTCTCTGAGCATGGGAGGTGCATTTTCTCAGAGCCAAAGCACAGACTTGGAAGAGCCAAGTACTTACTTGAAAAGCTTCCCATGCCAGGCATGATGGTCTCAATTACACTGTATACATTAGTGACCAGTGACAGGAGTGAGAAAAGTGAGTTAGACTTTCCTTGTGACCTAAATGATAATGATCCGCTCTGGCCTAAGGGTTCGGTACATCATGACAAACCCTAGGGCGGAAGAGAGTCAGGGAGGCCTACTCAGCAGTAGTGGCCCGAGAGGATGGGGCTTACCTTTGCACTTTCAGGATACTCTTCCGGGGTTCGGTGCAGCAAGACGTGCCCTTTGCTGGGGCTATTGACATATATACAGTTTGCAGCCATGTCATCGGGCACAGTGAGTTTGTCATAGCGGTGGTCACTCATCTGCTGCATTATCTGTGAGAGAAACAAGGAAGGCCTTAGGAGAGGGTCTCCCCACACTTTCCTTATGGGGGCTACTGTTTGGCTGAAAGTTGGGCCGAGCGAGTAAGAAGTTTCCTTTTCTTTTCAGAGAGCTGGCTCCTTGAATGCAAGCCCAGGTATGGAAGAGTGGACAGAGCAGGCCCTAGGGGCCCAGCCAGACCCGAGTCTGAATGCTTTCTCGGACACACACTAACTTGTGGGACATTGGCAAGTCATCTAAGCTGCCCAAGCGTCCATATCCTCAGCTAAAAAAATGGTAAGAAGATGTGATATCCATTTCCCATAGGGTAACTCTAAAGATTCTGGGGGGAAAAACAAACAAAACTAAGAGATAATGTATATAAAGTGCTTAGTACAACACCCCTTCCCCCCTCCGGGGCCATCACGTTGATGCCACCTCCTAGCAGCTGTGTAGATCAGGGCAGAAATGCTGCTGTGACTCTCTGACACCGGGACTGTGCACAGAGTAGAAAGCCCCATCTTTTGCCAGCTGAGTGGCTGGTGGTTTCAAACTGTGGACCTTGTGGCTCACAGCCCAACGTATCACCTCTAGGCCAGTAGGGCTCCTGCTTAGCACAAGTTCTGAACAAACAGTCAATGTGTGATTCATGTGTAATCCATGTGTAATCCCTCTGTTTCTTGTAAATTAGCATATAGCAGCTGATCGAGCCAGGTTGTTAACCTCCTGATTTGTTTCTTCATTCCTTTCACCTCTTCAGAAGGAGGCAGAGAAGCATAGGCACGTACTTGACCAGCCATATTCATCAACCATTGCACCACCTCAGAAAAACCATGCTCCTCTATGGCCAGTGTAGAAATGTGAATTCATTATTTAATGGCTAGAATTTTTTTTTTGTCTTTCTTTTCTTTTTAAAAAAAAATTTTTTTTTAAACATTTTATTAGGGGCTCATACAACTGTTATCCCAATCCATACACACATCAATTGTGTAAAGCGCATTTGTGCATCGTTTCTCAAAACATTTTCTCTCCACTTAAACCCCTGACATTAGGTCCTCATTTTCCCCCTCCCTCCCCGCACCCCCCTCCCGCATGAGCCCTTGATAGTTTATAAATGGGTATTTTGTCATATCTTGCCCTGTCCGATGTCTCCCTTCACCCACTTTTGGGTTGTCTGTCCCCCAGGGAGGAGGTCACACACAGTTCCATGTAATCGGTTCCCTCTTTCCTACCCATTCTCCCTTTACCCTCCCTGTTTTGCCACTCACACCACTGGTCCTATAGGGCTCATCCATCCTGGATTCCCTGTATTTTCAGTTCTTATCTGTACCAGTGTACCTCCTCTGGTCTTGGCTAGAATTATTAAGCCTATGGTTTGCCTTTTAAAAAAATTTATTAATACTTCATAGAAGGGCACTACACTCTGAAGTCCTAGCCCAGAGGGTTTTGGATGTGAGACAACAGGCAGCAGTGAGGTTTGGAGTAGCTCAAGGGTGTGTAACACCTAAAGGCTTTGAAAAGAAAGGAAGGAAAGAAACCTGTGTGCACAGATTGTCTACATCACACCAAATTCATCTGTTTCTTCCAGTTTGTGACCCTCTGTTTAGCAAGATAGTCCAGACACCGTGGGGCGGACTGATTTCTTCCTGGGTACAAATGAAATGATTTGTGCTATATACAGGATGGCAGTTAGGTTTGTGAAGGGGCCACTTTGGGTCAGTTTGGATACTGTCTGAGTTGGTGAGGATAGCTCATGTTGGTGATAAGCACAACGAGACTGCCATCAGAGCACCTGGCAGACAGGTTACCTGGGTCAGTGGTTGACTAAGAAGAACCTTACTTATTCCTCTTTCATAAACGTTCTTAAAAAATGGCATGTACAACCACTTACCACGTCTACAAACAAGTCCACTGACTTAATTTCCAAGCATGCGGGGAAATGTGGGAAGCGTTTTCTAGAGCAGTATAGGCAGATTGGCTGCCAGGGAAAAGCACCAATCTTCATTGTCTCCCCATTCAATCCAAGGATCATCCCGAGTGCTCTTCATCCAGAGATCACGAAAGCGCTCTTAGCCTGAGAGGAGCTGAAGGAGAGCGAGCGGAGCAGAGAGACCACACCTCTCCGCTGGCCATACCATCAGCTTCAGCAGCCGCGGGGTGACATTCCTGCCTCTCAGCCTGACTCACGCATGTCCGGTGGGACTGTGAAGCAGGAGCATGGAATGCAGTGCATTCCAGAGGAAATATTATCAAAGACCATTATCAGGGCCGCCTTGTGTTTATCTACTAGGGAACAAACGAAAATCTCCAAGGTTGTGTCTACCTTTGGAATGTGCCAGATTCTTTGGGATAACCCAGCCTGTTATTTCCTCTCAGCTCCGGCTTTACTTTGGCTTCAGCTCTTTCCATTCCCAGGCCCATCTCCACCTGCCCCTCCTTGAGTGAATAAACCTCGTCTCTGCCTTCCTATTTGCTTTATGCGTCATGCTTCAGTTAATGGTATTTATGAAAGAATAAAAATCTAATTTCTGTTTTCCTACTTTTCAGTGCTTTCCCCTTTCCCCAGCTTTGTGTGTTTAATTTATAGCTTCTGGCAGGGACACTTTTAAAAGCTACTCATATAAGGGCCAGTACCCAAGCTAGAATTATTGGAGGACAGGCTCATTCTCTTCAGCACAGTAGGAAAATTATCATAATACCCCGAGTGGTATTGGAGGTGACAGAGTGGAGAAACAATTCGATGGTAGGAATATATGAAGTAATTCACTGATAACTTCTACTCAGAGTTATTCTTCAAAATAAATGACTTAACAAAGCTACCAAAACCCACTTTAGAAAAGCTTTTCAATTAATTTATCAAGGTCCCATGGTTATCATTTTAAGACAGGTTTAAAAATGTGCCAAAAGCAATGACTTTTAATAATAGAACAAACCCCATTTTTTGAGCAGTGAGTGGTTCTGCTTAACTGTGAAAAGGAACCCCCCCCCAAAAAAAAAAGCCCCACAAAGGCTATGCAGGCAGTTTTTCTAACTAAAAAAGATTTAGGCAGCGGTCGCTGTAAAACACACACACACACACACACACACACACACACACACACAAAGTTCATGGAAAAGTTCCATTATCAGATAATGATATTT